TGTGTGTGTGTGTGTGTGTGTGTGTGTGTGTGTGTGTGTGTGTGTGTGTGTGTGTGTGTGTGTGTGTGTGTGTGTGTGTGTGTGTGTGTGTGTGTGTGTGTGTGTGTGTGTGTGTGTGTGTGTGTGTGTGTGTGTGTGTGTGTGTGTGTGTGTGTGTGTGTGTGTGTGTGTGTGTGTGTGTGTGTGTGTGTGTGTGTGTGTGTGTGTGTGTGTGTGTGTGTGTGTGTGTGTGTGTGTGTGTGTGTGTGTGTGTGTGTGTGTGTGTGTGTGTGTGTGTGTGTGTGTGTGTGTGTGTGTGTGTGTGTGTGTGTGTGTGTGTGTGTGTGTGTGTGTGTGTGTGTGTGTGTGTGTGTGTGTGTGTGTGTGTGTGTGTGTGTGTGTGTGTGTGTGTGTGTGTGTGTGTGAATGGATATAAACATTGATGATGCATAGTATGTATTCTTGGAGTTCTATTTGTATATAGATATATATATATATATATATATATATATATATATATATATATATATATATATATATATATATATATATATATATATATATATATATATATATATATATATATATATATATATATATATATATATATATATGCCTTGTTATTATGATATCGTTTTCTCACCCTTCTGCTGTTTTATAATGCTCTATGAGGCATTGCAGATTAGATTGCTGGAGATACTTTGTGAAACGTGGGTTCATTCTTTTGGTCGGTCGGCTCTGATATGTAGCACCGGGTAGATAGGGATTATTTTGATTCTTTTGTGATACATCTGTGCATGTATCTGCTGATGGTTTTTCGTTGATATGGAATGATGTTTATGTACATGAATACCTATTTTGAAATTAATACAATGTTTAGATGTTTCCGCTTTTATTCTAAATATTGTGATGTGGGTATCACCCCGATGTTGCATATCTATAAATATGAGCAGGTGTTGTATGTGTTGAATATTTGTATAATGTGACAAATCCCTTTTATACCATGATATAATTATACTCTGATGAAATTTTAAATACGTGCCTAAATGATTAATTGTATTATTTAGGGGTATAGAAAGTGGGTGTTACACCTCCCATGCTATGATATGCGAAAAATGTAAAATGCAGAGAAACAAAAGTAAGTTAAAACGGAAGAAAAAATTTGGGCTACACCCTCCTCTACGAGGAGCTGGGTTGGGCTGTGTCCTACGATGGGTCAGTTTCTGACCAAGTCTAGAACTATATATATATATATATATATATATATATATATATATATATATATATATATATATATATATATATATATATATATATATATATATATATATATATATATATATATATATATATATATATATATATATATATATATATATATATATATATATATATATATATATATATATATATATATATATATATATATATATATATATATATATATATATATATATATATATATATATATATATATATATATATATATATATATATATATATATATATATATATATATATATATATATATATATATATATATATATATATATATATATATATATATATATATATATATATATATATATATATATATATATATATATATATTTGCATCACACACCTGTTAGAACAAGATTTGCTCTTTTTCTTTTAGTTTTGATGATAACAAAAGTATTAAAAGAACAATGATTTATTTGATATGTGTTTTATTTATGCAGGTTCTTATTCTTATACATAAACAATCAAAATCTGTTTTACTTAGACACACTGTGAGTTGTTTCATTGCTAGCTTCTGGTGGCAGAGTCTGAAGAACAATTATAGTGTGGTTTGACGCAGACTCTGAACTGAAGGCTTCAGCATTCAATCGAGTTTCTACACTTAATAATTATATATCAACATCTGATACCATTTATAGTTGGTGATAAAGTTGTGGACTATTCGTACTACTAAAAGCAAAACTCAAGAAAAACTGGTACATTCTTTTGTAACAGAATTTGCATTAGCTGAAGCTAAAATTACAGGCATTTTCGCCTGTGCAGTTAAGTCATGCCGTTGCAATTGGGAGATGTTTGAAATATATAGTTGAGGGATGTTTAAAGTTAATACCTTTTTTATTGCATATGAGAAGTTTGATGAAAATAATTCAACATGGCCAAAATTGTCTAATGATGCGGTGCCTAATATGATCCCATGCATGATTTTAAATCACCTTGCAATTGCGGTTGCGGGGGCTACCTTATCAACAATGTTGACACTGCAATTAGTGTCGCGAACTGCATTTTTTCATGCATATGCTTTTAAATTGCAATTGCAGTTGCAGATGCGGCTGTGGTGCTACAATTGCAGGTACTGCAAAATGAAATCATATTGAGAGGTGTTAGAAAGACACAGTTGCGAATAATGGTTAAAATTAAGATTTCTCTTTAAGAATGTAGAAGCCAAAAAGATGTTAAGATTGATAGATCTTAGTGGCATTAACATTAATGGAAAATATAAACTCTTTTAGAACAACATCCAAAAGAAGACGAGAAATAAAAGTAATTGATGTCTTGAGAGATGTCAAATGCTTGTCTAAACTGGAAACAATGAAAGAACTTTCACCTCTTTGTCTCTATCATAATCTTCAGAAAGAATCCTCAAAATCAAAATTAGTGACTCATCCACTTTTTATGTACAATAAACCCACATTAAGGAGCAGAAAACTTGGTAAGGTAGATGGATCTTCTGACATGAACATTTAAGCATATTTCTATAAGCTTATAAGATAAAATTATGAAAAACAACTTATGTGGAAATGCTTATTGATTTAAACTCTTGTGCACAATTGACTTGATAAATTATTTTTGAATAAAGGTTAAATTAAGCGGTTTGCCAAATGCATACTGAATTCAAACAAGGTTGACCTCAAAAGTATCCCCTCCTCACTGTTATTTGAATTAAGGCTGCAGTATTTCTTGTGTGTTGTACCTCAAATGACAATTATGTTTAACTCTAAACACTTAAGAAAATTACATCTCTTTTGTGAGATGTTGGATCGAACTCTAATACAGTTGAAGTCTGTTCCCGAGTAGTGTGTGTTGTAGTCGAAGTTTGTTCTAACATGCATTAGTCAATATTGCTAGGGTTGTTAGCATGTTGAATTGGGTCTTGCTTGTAAGCCAAATTGTTTAAGTTAGCTTGTACTCTAAGTTAGCTTGTAATGAGTAATTGTTAAAAAGCCCGTTAGGTTAGTGTGCTATTTTTCTTATAAATAGGATAAAAAAATAGGAAGATAAAATCCTAATTTCAAGAGAGAGAGATTATTTTGTTATTTTTGTATACTTGTAATCTTGTTCTAAGAGAAAGGAAAGAATATCAGTTTAATAACCAATCCTTGTTGTTTTCTTCTTTATTAACCCAATCTCTTGTGTGTTTCTTGATCATTAAAAAACCGTTTACACTTAGTTTAAGGTATCCGATTCACAACATCTTTTATTTATAAATATTCGTTCAAGCCATAGCAAAAATCTAGTAGCAAGTAGTCCGACAGATATTAGATAGATTCAGATACCATATTATAATTTTGAGTTAGATGTCTAACTCAATCTTACAAAACAGACTTGTAAAGTTAAAATGTCTCACTTATAAAAAATATATTCACGTCATTATCTCATCCAATATAAAACTTTTAACATAGACTATAATGGTTTGAGAATACATGAATATTACTAGGATTAATAATTTGCTTTTATAGTAAATGTTGTTTAATGTAGTATGAAAAAGACACAATTTAGCAAATGCGAGTAATGTACAATGATTCCATGAACCGAAATCGCTATGTGCACGACATAAATAACCATGATAACTCGAGTAATGTTTCCAAAAGCAGCTTCAGAAGTTAGAAATGTAGATCTTGATTATGTTGAGGGACAGCAGCAGATCTTCTTCAGTGATGGTTATCCTTATCTTACTTGCATCTCAGGTCAGGCCAGCTACAGTTGAAAAATAAGTTTGAAGCTTACTTATACTTATTTAAGTCTTTACTTTTTACTTTACTTTAATTGCTTTCCGGAATCGTTAGATGCACTAAACAAGCTTCTAGGGCAATCAATACCTATTAAATGTTTGAGACCCAAGTATCTATTTGTTCATGTCTTCTCATCTCCAAGCTTCTACAGAAACTGATACCTATGAAATATTTCAGACCCAAGTATTGATTCGTTCATGTCTTCTCATCTCCAAACTTCTAGAGAAACCGATGCCTATGAAATGTTTGGGACCCAAGTATCGATTCGTTCATTTCTTCTCATCTCCAAGCATCTAGAGGAACTGATACCTACAAAATGTTTTAGACCCAAGTATTGATTCGTTCATGTCTTCTCATCTCCAAGCATCTAGAGGAACCGATACTTACGAAATGTTTCAGACCCATGTATCGATTCGTTCATGTCTTCTCATCTCCTGTTATAGTATTTATATCAGTGTATATGACTAGTTTAGATTATCTAATTGAGATTTTGGTGGCTCAAGGTGCAATATTCTTGTTGAAGGTTGTGTGAACCATATTCTGAAGACTTGTGGAGATATATCAATATAAGAAGGTTTTCATTTGAGGTTGTCAAACTGTAAGGTATAAAGTTCTACTCTATAGTTTCCTTTTCTACCTATCATATTGCAAACATTGATTTAAATAAGGTAGAAATATTTTTCATAGATTCATAAGATATTTTTTTCTTCAAATTTTGGTCTAAATATTGATATTGCTTAAATATTATTTTAATATAAATTTGTGAAATATTCAATTTATTTAACTTATTATTGTTTGGGACTTTGGGTTAGTTTTAATGAATGAAATGTAATGCAGTTTAATAACAGTATGTGATTTTTCTTTAGGTATTAATATGTTTACACTATAATGTATGATACTAATTGTTATTGATAGAATTTATTTGATAAAATTGATAAGCTGGTTTTAATTTATTTTCATTAACTCTTCAAGATAGTTGATGAAAATAACCTACAGGTTAATTTTAGGAAAATGGAGGCAAAACCAAATGGTTGTGTAGGTGACCTGAAGAATGATCTGAACGAAATACTTAATGTAGTGGTTGTTCCTGATATGTCTGGAATGATCGATGAACAATGCATCTACAAAGTACCACCAAATATTCGTGAAGCTAATCCACAAGCTTATACACCTCAAATTATTTCCATTGGCCCTTTTCACAGTCCACTTGGTTCAAGTAGGGACAACATTTTGCACAAAATGGAAAAACTCAAATTCAAATATTTCAAAGGATTTGTAAATAGAACAAAGGTATCTGTGGATGATTTAGTTTTCAAATTTCAAGAGTGGGAGGATAGAATCAGAAGTTGTTATGCCGAGCTTTTTAGCTTTAACAGCAATGAATTCTTAAAAATCATTATAGTTGATGCATGCTTCATAGTTGAACTTTTTATTAGGTTTTCTCTATCCAGATATTGGATACAAGATGACCCTATATTACAAAGTCATTGGTTACGTAGAGACATTGCACGTGATCTAGTACTCCTTGAAAATCAGCTACCATTTTTTGTTCTTCAATATATATACGACTTATTTGGTATTACTGAGTTTGGTACATTTCTTCAGATCTCTATAACCTTTTTTAAACCATTCAGCCTCAACCTGCCATACTTAAGTTCAGAAAGAGTAGAGTATCCAAAACACTTCACAGATATGTTAAGAACATTTTTGATGCAGACACAACAGAATTATAATTTTAATTTTGATTTTGATGATCGTGTAATTGGATTGATTTTGATGATCGTGTAATTGGACAAGTAAAAAGTGTGAGTCAATTATCAGAAGTAGGATTAGTATTTGAAGCAAGTGAAAGTGAATGCTTTGATGACAAGGGTGTGTTGAAAATGGCACCGTTTGTTGTCAATCGTACAACAGAGTTATACCTGAGGAATATAATAGCATTTGAAGACCGTCACATTCCAGATCAAGATCCACATTTCCGAGATCAAGATCCACATTTCGTTTCTCATTACTTGACTATGTTAGATTTTCTTATTAACACAGAAAAAGATGTGAGCATCTTGGTTGATAAGGGAATTATTATGAATAAGATGGGTGATGCTAATGCAGTGGTTAAAATGGTTAAAGATCTGTGCAAAAATCTTGTAGCGCCTGGACAGAATCCAAAATATGTATATGTACGTAAAATGTTAAATGGCTTCTATGAAAACCCTATGAATAAGTATAAGGCTATATTTGTGCATGAGTACTTCAACACTCCTTGGAAAATAGCATCAACTGTGGCTGCTGTATTGCTGCTTTTGCTTACTCTTATCCAGACTGTATGTTCAATCGTCTCACTCTAATGCTACAATTAATATTATTTTCTTCCTTTTTTATGTAATGCTCATAATTTATTTTTTTTGGGTTTAAGTTCTTCCATTTAATATTTTTTACATATATTGTTTGTTGTTTTGAGTAAACATTCTAATCAAATACTCCAACTCAAATCTATCAGTAAAAGTTATTTTTCTTTAAAAATATTGTTTGTTGGATTTAGGTTTTGCAATTTAATATTCTTTAAATATGTTGTTTGTTGTTTTTAGTAAACATTTTAATCAAATACTCCAAAAAAGTGTGCATAATCATGTTAACACATTAGCAAAAAGTATGCAAAAAGTGCTTGAAACATGTGATAAAATTGTAAAATAATCAAGAAAAATCATGCAATTAATCAAACAAGAGTTGTTGCAAGTAGGTACTGATCTAAAACAGTACCATTGACATGAATATAGGCAAGCATGGGAAGTTATACAAGAAAATATGTCAAAACAGTCCTAAACAGCATGATTTTTGCAAAAGTTGTCAGGTGTAATCGATTACACAGTGCCAAAAAGCAGTTTTGAGGCGCATGCAAAGATGTAATCGATTACACAGTGCCAAAAAGCAGTTTTGAGGCGCATGCAAAGATGTAATCGATTACACCGTATGTGTTGATCGATTACCACTGTAAAAACAACAGAAACAAAATTTCGAAAAACACTCTTCGGAATCACTTATCGCATGCAATCGCAATGAAATATAACATATAAGCAGATGCAAAATTCATGTTAATTATGAGTAATTAAGCACTAAAAGAATCAAGCATGCAAATCAATTATTCAAATAGCAAAGCAACAATTAAACACTACATTGCAAAAACGCGAAATCGATCGAAAGCGATAAATTAAGCTAGTGCCAAATCGATCGAAAGCAATTGATGTCTTGAGAGATGTGAGCTAGTGCCAAATACATCAAATGCTTGTCTAAACTGGAAACAATGAAAGAACTTTCACCTCTTTGTCTCTATCATAATCTTCAGAAAGAATCCTCAAAATCAAAATTAGTGACTCATCCACTTTTTATGTACAATAAAGCCACATTAATGAGCAGAAAAATTGGTAAGGTAGATGGATCTTCTGACATGAGCATTTAAGCATACTTCTATAAGCTTATAAGATAAAATTATGAAAAACAACTTATGTGGAAATGCTTATTGATTTAATTAAGCAGTTTTCCAAATGCATACTCAATTCAAACAAACTTGACCTCAAAAGTATCCCTCCTGACTGTTATTTGAATTAAGGCTGCAGTATCTGTTGGACCTCAAATGACAATTATGTTTAACTCTAAACACTTAAGAAAAATACTCTTAAGCTTGTAATGTACAACGATTCCATGAACCGCAGTGGCTATGTGCATGACATTAACTCGAGTAATGTTTCCAAATGCAGATTCTGAAGATAGAAATTTAGATCCTGATTATGTTGAGGGACAGCAGATCTTCTTCATTGATGGTTATCCATATTCTTACTTGCATCTTAGGTCAGGCCAGCTACAGTTGAAAAATAATTTTGAAGTTTCCTTATTTAAGTCTTTACTTTTTTTTTTTTTACTTTTCATTTATTGTTTTAGGAATCATTAGATGCACTAAACAAGCTTCTAGAAAAACCGATATGGCGATACCTATGAAATGTTTGAGACCTAAGTATTCATGTCTTTTCATCTCCAAGCTTTTAAAGGAATCGATATCTATGATATGTTTGAGACCCAAGTATTCATGTCTTTTCATCTCCAAGCTTCTAGAGGAATCGATATCTATGATATGTTTGAGACCCAAGTATGGATTTGTTCATGTTTTCTCATCTCCAAACATCTAGAGAAATTGATACCTATGAAATGTTTGAGACCCAAGTATCGTTTCATTCAAGTCTTCTCATCTCCAAGCACTAGAGGAACTGATACCTATGAAATGTTTGAGACCTAAGTACCGATTCATTCATGTCTTCTCATCTCCAAGCTTCTAGAGGAAGTGATGCCTCTGAAATGTATGATCCCCAAGTATCTATTCATTCATGTCTTCTCATCTCCAAGCTTCTAGAGGAAGTGATGCCTCTGAAATGTATGAGACCCAAGTATCTATTCATTCATGTCTTCTCATCTCCAAGCTTCTAGAGGATTCGATACCTATGAAATGTTTGAGATCCCAGTATGAATTTGTTCATGTCTTCTCATCTCCAAGCATCTAGGGGAACTGATACCTATGAAATGTTTGAGACCTAAGTATCGATTTATTCATGTCTTCTCATCTACAAGCATATAGAGGAACCGATACCTATGAAATGTTTGAGACCTAAGTATAGATTTGTTCATGCCTTCTCATCTCCTTTTATAGTATTTATATCATTACACGTTACTAGTTTAGATTACCTAATTGAGATTTTGGTGACACATAGTTGTGTGAACTCTAATCGAAGACTTGTAGAGAGATATCAATAAAAGCAGGTTTTCATTTCAGGTTGTCAAATTCATAAGATTTTTTTTTTTCAAATTTTTGTCTAAATATGGATATTGATTAAATATTGTTTTAATATGATTCTGTAAAATATTCAATTTATTTAACTTACTATTTTTTTAGGTTAGTTTTAATGAATGAAATGTAATGCAGTTAAATAACAATATGTGATTTTTTTTTTGGTATTGATATGTGTTCACTATAATGTATGTTACTAATTGGTATTGAAAGAATTTATAAGCTGTTTTAAATATATTTTCATTAACCCTTCAATGAAAACAACTTATAGGTTAATTTGAGGAAAATGGAGGCAAAACCAAATGGTTATCTGAGTGAACTAAAGAATGAACTGCTTAAAGGAGTAGTTGTTCCAGAATTGTCTGGATTCCGCGAACAATGCATATACAAAGTACCGCCAAGATTACGCCAAGTTAATCCAGAAGCTTATACACCTCAAGTTATTTCCATTGGTCCTTTTCACCGTTCACATGGTGACAACATTTTGCACCAAATGGAACCACTCAAACTCAACTATCTCAAGGGATTCCTAAATAGAACAAAGCTATCTCTGGATGATTTTGATTTTGATTCTCAAGAGTGGGAAAATAGAATCAGAAGTTGTTATGGAGGGCTTTTTAGCTTTAACAGCAATGAATTCTTAAAAATCATTATAGTTGATGCATGCTTCATAATTGAACATTTTCTTAGGTTTTATGAATACTCAAATTGGGAGAGAAATGATCCTATATTACTACAACCTTGGTTACTTGATGACATTAAACGTGACTTAGTACTCCTTGAAAATCAGCTACCTTTTTTTGTTCTTGAATATATATACCGATTAGCAGGTCTAAACCGTGGATCTCCTTCATTTTTTGACATTACTAGTATCTATTTTCAACCAATGGACCGCAACCTGCATAACTTAACTTCGCATAGAATGCTAAGTCCATACCACTTCACAGATCTGGTAAGAGCATTTTTGCTGCCGTCGTCATTTTTTGTACACGAAACAGGATGTTCAATTGAAAATGTATACAGCGTGAGTCAATTATCAGAAGCAGGATTAGTTTGTGAAGTAAATGAAGGTAAATACTTACTTGACTTGAGTTTTGACGAGGGTGTGTTGAAAATGCCATGTTTACATGTCCATCATACAACAGAGTCATACCTGAGGAATATATTAGCATATGAAGAATGTCACATTTCAAATCTAAATACACGTTATATTTCTCAGTACTTGACTATCTTAGGTTTTCTTATTAACTCAGAAAAAGATGTGAGCATCTTGATTGATAAGAAAATTATTGTGAATTGGATGGGTGATGCTAATGATGTGGCTACAATGGTTAACAATCTTCGCAAAAATGTTTCAATGCCTCCATTCCGTTTACAATATAAGTCTGTATGTGAAAGGTTAAATGGCTTCTATGAAAACCCTATGAATAAGCATAAGGCTATACTTGTGCATGAGTACTTCAACACTCCTTGGAAAATAGCATCAACTGTGGCTGCTGTAGTGCTGCTTTTGCTTACTCTTATCCAGACTATATGTTCAATCGTCTCACTCTAATGCTACAATTAGTATTATGTAATTTGTTCAGTCGGTGACTTTGTTGATTTTTTTTTATGTAATGGAGAATCCAAAGCTGTTAATTTATTTTTATATTGCTTGTTGTGTTGAGTAAACATTTTAATCTATGAGTAAAAGTTTTTTTCTTTAAAATGAAGTAAATATAGTGTATTTGAATGAGGGAAGGACTAAAGGTGTATGCTTCAATGGATCTTCGACCTTATGTGCTATATATAGATAGCAGCAGCATTACACTGATCTATAAATAATAATTCTTATTAATAAATGATGAAACTTAATAGTTAGTTGAGAAGTTTGTTGTGTTAGTTACACATCGAACAAGTTAGTTACATTAGTTAGTTGTTGTTTTTTGTGACTTAAGCAACTAGCATGTAATTTTCTTGTATATATACTTTTCTCGATCTCTATCAATACATGAGAATGATACTTCTCCTTTCTCATCTTCTTCATATTGTTTCTCATCTTCATGTTGTTTTTCATGCTATCTTTCATGAAGCATAATATGGTATCATCGCTTTCAATCAGCATTTCATCCCTTCTGCTTCTGCCATGAACTAGTTGGTGATTCATCTTCTTTTTCGTGATTCTTCTTCGCATTTTACCTCTGCAAATCTTTCTTTGTAATTCTTCTTATTTCTCCCTCTTGTTTAGTTTCTTTTTCACCATACCTCCACAAAACGATCCCATTGCAAATCACATTACAAATGGTGATGTTGATTCGGTGTACTATGTTGATCCTAGTGAAGGTCCAAATTATGTCAGCATTACACCTCAATTGAATGATTCTTACTACATTACTTGGTCAAGATCGATGCAACGGCCCCTTGGAGCTAAGAACATAATTGCTTTCATTGATGGTTCTATTCGTATTCTAAATATGCTTGATCTTAATCGTTCTGCATGGGAACGATGCATCTGTTTAGTACATTCATGGATTCTGAATTCAGCGAATGCTCCAATTGCTCACACCATCGTGTTTTTGGAAAATGATTTCGATGTATGGAACAAACTCAATGAACGTTTTTCTAAAGCTGATCGTATCCGTGTTTCAAACTTGCGTGTTGAGATCAACACTCTCAAACAAGGTTCTAAATCTGTACTTGATTACTTCAATGAGTTGCATGGATTGTGGGAAGAATTGAACTCTCACAGACCTATCTCAAGTTGCACTTGTGCTCAGTAATGTCGATGTGAAACTATACGCAGTGCACATGATTTTCTCCTTGAATACCAAATCATTTAATTCTTAACAGGTTTAAATGATAAGTTCTCTATCATTAAGACTCAAGTTTTGTTAATGGGTCCACTTCCATCCATAAAAAAAGTTTATTCCATGGTAATACAAGAAAAAAGTTACAATGTTTCTTTACTTTTCAAAGTGGATTCCAAGATCAATCTTGATGAAGCTAACACTTTAATAAATACCTATGATTCTAGAAAATTTGTTGATCGTGGTAAAAATCCAAATTCTTTTGATGGTCCTTTAATCCTAAAAAGGATAGTAGAATGTGCCTTTTTTTGTCACAGGTCAGATCATACAATTGAGTATGTTATCATAAGCATGGCTTCTCTCTTACTTTTGCTAAAAAGCAAGCTTCTGCAAATGCATCTAGTGCATCTCATGGTGATACACAATTTGTGATTAACAATGGGGAAGATATAAGAGTGAAATGCACCTAAGAGAGGGGTGAATTAGGTACTTAAAATTTTCCGGTCTTTGATGTAGGATTCTTGTTTTACTTTCCTAAAATTTACTAATTGAAGAATGTGGTAAATGCGGAAAGTAAAGAGACACAGCGATATATCATGGTTCTCCTCATATTCCGAGAGTACTCCACTCCCCTTTCAACACGAAAGAGATTTTTCAATAATTTTTAGATCCTAAGACAAGATTTCTACCTTGTCTTTCTATATAGATTCTAAACAATCAAACCACCAAGAACAAACTCTTGGATTTTTCAACTAAGTCCAATGAGAACAATCCTCTCAATATGGACCTCCTGCTTCCAACAATCCTAGACAACAAGGTAACAACCTTACAAACTTAATTCCAACAATCCTGGAACACTAAGTATGTAATCAAAGAGTAAATGAATAAAATCTGTTTTGAGTAGTTTTGCAATTGTCTTCAAAATATCAATCTTCCGATCGATCTTCTTCTTGATATTCCAACTCTTATATATCTTAACAAGTGTTCAAGAGGTAAATGAGTGAAACTATGATGAATTTATGAAAGTTGAAGTAGAAAGTTTCGCTCTTGAAAAATTAGAATTTTAACACTTGTGAAAATTTGAGAATGAGAGATGAAAACATATATTTGAAATTTTTGCAAGAAGGTTGGATTTAAAATCTGAGTTTATATATATATATATATATATATATATATATATATATATATATATATATATATATATATATATATATATATATATATATATATATATATATATATATATATATATATATATATATGCCTCTAAACACCTTTTCAGAAGAGACATAATGGCCAAGAGATTCCATGATTCAAGAAGAAGAATGAAAACAATTTTATGTCAAAAGATGCAACTTTCTGGCCTGCAACGCCAGTGGTAATCGGTTATCATAAGTGGGTAATCGGTTACCAGCCTCAACGTATTAAAAAAATTGAAAGATTACAAAGTTTAATCGGTTACCAGGTTTGAGTAACCGGTTACTCTATTCAATTTTTCAGAAAAACAGTTTTGAAAAAGAGACAGAAGTGCATAGAAAAGTTTTAAAATGGTTTTAACATGAAATTCAAGAAAGAGAGATGAAGTTGAACACTTGTCTAAGGTATATAGTAGCTTAAACTTTGTACCTCCCTTTGTGCAGAACTTGTCTCCATTCTTGATCTAGCTTTGACATAATGATATGAAATTGAGTTGCTTCAAACTTGATTTACTTGATAGCCTTTAAACTATCCTTGCATGTTATGGAGTGTGTCGTCATCAAAATCGCTTGAGAAGATTTGTCTTCACTGAAGAAGGCACTGCAAGTAACCCTGCTACCACCATTACTCAAGAACAATATTCTCAATTGATTGGCTTGTTACAACAAACCAATTTGCTTCCTCTTACATCACACACATGTTAGAACAAGATTTGTTCTTGACATATTTTCTTTTAGTTTTGATGATAACAAAAGTATTAAAAGAACAATGGTTTATTTGATGTGTGTTTTATTTATGCAGGTTCTTGTACATAAACAATCAAAATCTATTTTACTTAGACATACTGGTGGTAGAGTCTGAAGAACAATTATAGTATGGTTTAACGCAGACTCTAAACTGAAGGTCTCAACATTCAAACGAGTTTCTACACTTAATAATTGTATATCAGCATCTGGTACTATTCACAGTTGGTGATAAAGCTATGGATTATCCGTACTACTGAAATCAAGTTGTATTATCTTATCAGCCCATTAGCTCGAGTCTACAAGATTGCAAAGCTTGAGAAAAGATGGTACGTTCTATGGATGTCTACTCCCAACGGCTTTATCAGTATAAAACCTCTTTACGACTCAAAGGTTAAACGTGTTACACACTGGATTCAAAATCTGTCATGCATCTATCTTCAACATCTCTTGTACTATGTAGTAAAAGCAAAGACACTTGATCAAGTCACTTCCTCAACTACTAGTTTCTAGAAAGGCTATATATATGGCTAAAGATTCAAGTTTGAATCTTAAGAAGGATTCTTCTAATGAAGGAGTAGCAAGATCAAGCAATTATTTACTCTATGTAATATGCAGATTTTCTGTTTTAGATTGTAATTGTAAAAGCCTTAAGATTTATTACCTCTGTATATATTAGAAATCTTAAGTGCTTTGGGTCTTTGTTATGATGATTTTCCGTACCTCTGATGCTTGCATCATGTACACCTTATTCTCTATTATGTTGAGCCTTCAGTAGTTTAGATTAAGTCTACTGCTATGTGCTTGGGCAAAAAAATTTGTCTCATTGGAATTCAAGCAACAAGTCTTAAGTCAAGATGCTTAAGCCACATAAGTCTCATTGTTTAAGTGCTTGAGCTAGCTAGTCTAATTGAGCAAGTGGGAAAGTCTCAGTCTGAGGGGCGAGAGCGAGAAATCTCTAGTGCAGCTTGAGCAAGGTAAAGTCTTAGACACGAGATCTAAGTAAAGGAAAGTCTTAATCAGAAGCTGATCAAGCAAGGGAAAAGTCTTAGACACGAGCTCTAAGCAAGGTGACGTCTTAGGCAGGCGGTGTAAGCAAGAGAACTCTCGATCAAAAGCTGATTGAGCAGAGTGAAGTCTTAGACACAAGCTCTAAGTAAGAGAAGTCTTAGACAGTTGGTCTGAGCAGTTGTAAAAGTCTTATGCAAAAGCATAAGCAATTGTAATCATAAAGTGACTATAATAAAAAGCTCTTGTGAGGTAAGGAGACCGGACTACTCTCAGTTAGGGGAAGAACCAATATAAATCTTTTGTGTCTTCTGCTGTTATTTTATTTACTTCTGTTGTATCTGCTGCCAAACGATTTAACTCAGAAACTGAACATCAGTTCTGGTTCTGAAACTCTGATCAGAAGCTAAATTAAAAGAAAACCTAAAACACAATTCAACCCCGCTTCTTGTGTACTTTTTACACCTTTAATTGGTATCATAGCATGGTTTATGCTTAACACTTAACAGTGGTGCAGATAATTATCCAATAAGAAAAGTATATTTCTTCTTCAAGAAGGAATCAAGTGTCACATGAAAAATATCATACGACTTTTTCGACCATATTTAAATGGGTGATTCCACTGAATTTAAATGATGGAAAAGCTAAACATATTTTTTAACTCATTGGACTTGATAAAAGGGTTGCTGAATATCTATAAAATATCCTTGAAAGAGGTATTACTATAGAAGTTGATGGTGTTAAAGATGATCATCTTGAAAATCTCTTTCAACAACTCAGAAGATGCATATTGAATATCTTCAGAGATAGTTACATTCTGG